GTAGGTGCTGGAAACCAAACTTAGGTCCTCTGCAAGAACAGCCAGTGCTCTTAATGACTGAGCCATCTCTCCAACCCTCCTGTTGTTTCTGAGAAGAGTCTCACTGTGTAGGCCTGGCTGGCCCAGAATTCACTATGTAAACCAGGATTGCCTCAAACTCACAGAGATCCACCCACCTCTGCATCCCAAGTGCTGGGATTAAAGGCGTGTGCCACCACACCCAGCCTTGTTTTTTCATGTGTATAAGTGTATTGCTTACATGTATGTAAGTGCACCTGTATCATGCAATGCCTGTGGAGGTCAGAAGAGGGCTTTGGACCCCCTGGAACTGGACTTAGAGATGGCTATTAGCTGCCATGTAGGTGCTGGGAATCAAACTAAGGTCTTCTTCAAGAGCAGCCAGTGCTCTTAACCACTAAGCCATCTCTCCAGCCCCCTCTTTTTTGTTTCAATTATTTTGAGACAGGGTCTCCCTGTAGCCCCAACTGGCCTGAAACTCACTATGCAGACCAATCTGGCCTTGAATTCACAGAGATCCACCTGCCTCTGCTTCCCAAGTGCTGAGATTAAAGGCGTGAGTCACCATACCTAGCCTTCTCTGTTTCTTAAGACAGGGTCTTACTATGCTAGCCTGGAACTCACTATGTAGTCCAGGTTAGCCTCATACTCATAACAATCTTCCTGTCTCCCTCTCCTGAGTGGATATACCACCACAACTGGTTCCAGTATATGGAGATACATATGTTTTATATATGCATAGATTTTTACTCATCCCATCAAGAGAAAATCCACTTTACTGCCTTCTGAACTAAACTGTGTGTCGTGCTCTGGCCAATGGAACATGCTGTGACAACATAGCACATGCATCAGACTAACCCTCTCTTGCTTTGTAAAACCCTGAAACTACTGTTATGGAAAAATCAGAGACCAAGAGCCAAAGTCATGGAGGAGAGGGAGTTTTAATTTAACACTAGCAGCACTGCACACGAGTCTTTCTGCAAAGAAGTCAGCGTCCCCCACTTCAAGTTTTTGGGGGCGTTTATACTCATGTGAAGAATGCAAGCAAAGGACAAATAATACATATGTGGTAAGTACGTAAGTGGTTTACAGGTGACACATGGTCATAAAGGATACAAGAATGGGGCAGACTGGGAAAACAATGCCTTCTATAGGGTAACTGCAGGAGTTGGAGGAAGATTCCTGTTTACTTCCCCATTCTTATTATCTTATCCTGGGTCCTTTCAGGGTCCAAAGTTCTTAGCAAAAATTACATTGCAAGAATTTCAGCAACTCTTCCGGGCCTTTACTTTCTATTACACTACCACATAGTGTGATGGCTGAGTCTGTAGAGGATGCTGCAGGATCCATTGGTGCTGGCATATTCCCCTTAACAGACTGATTGCCAGGGAGAGGCCATAGGACCACTCAGGGAAGTGTGGGAAACTGTTAGGGCCGATTCTGGAGAAAGATCTATGGAAACAACTAATGCTTCATGCAAGGGTGATGATGCCAAGCCCTTCTTGTTCAAAAACACTTTACAGAAAAAAGAACTCACTGGGGCCCAGGGAGATGGCTCAGTGGCTAAAGCACTTGAAGAGCAAGCATTAGGACAGGAGTTCAGATCCCAGCACACATGAATGCAGGGTGGATACCTTGGGAGATGGAGAGGGGAGATCCTCAGAGGAATCTGGCTGATGAGAACAACCATACCCAGGAGCTCTGGGTTTAATTAAGAGACTCTACCTTGGGGCTGGAGAGATGGCTCAACAGTTAAGAGCACTAAGTGCTCTTGCAGAGGACCCGGGTTCAATGCCCAGCACCCACATGGTAACTACGAACTGTCCTTAACTCCAGTTCCAGGGGAATCCAAAGCCCTCTTCTGACTGCTGAGGCATTACAAGACACGGGTGCACTCACATACACGCAGGCAATACACTTGTACACATAAAAATAAAAATAGTAGGCTGGGCGTGGTGGTACACGCCTTTAATCCCAGCACGTGGGAGGCAGAGGCAGGCAGATCTTTGTAAGTTTGAGGCTAGCCTGGTCTCCATACTGAGTTCCAGGATGGGTGGGGCTACAGGGAGACCCTGTCTCAAAAAGACAATAAATAAATAAGTAAATAAATAAATAAATAAATAAATAAATAAACATTTTAAAAAAGAAGAGAGACTCTACCTCAATGAATAAGGTGTGTGACTGCCAGTGGGGCAGCCACAGGACCTGAATGGATTATCATGGAACTGAAAAAGGACCAGGGGACTCCTGCGGTTTTATTTCTTTACTCTTATTTCTTCATCCACACACTCATGGAAAGCACAGGCAATTCTGTTTTTACACTTATATTCCTAACAACTACAGTTGAATGTTTACAGAGCAGTGAATAATAATAAAGTGGCTAGAATACAGCAATTTAGCAAAATACGAGCAAAATAACAGTACCATCATAATATGCCTTGAAAGATAAGTGTTTCCTGAGAAACTAGGGGAGTACTGGCATTCTGGAGATAACTCCTCAGCAAGCATTCCTGCATAAAGTTTCTCATGAGAAAAGAGTCTCCAGGCATACGTGTTCAAGGTACAGCCCAATTTTCCAAACATTTTTTAAAGCCATGGGAACACTATTTCACAGCCCCTTCAAAGGTGGAAGAGTGATTAAGGATGATTCTAGGCCTCCACCTCCAGCCTCCACATGTGTGTACATGCACATGCATGTGAAGTGCTCACACAGGATAATAAAAAAGGAAAAGAACTTATTGAGGTCTCGTGGGCTGCAGTGTTTCCAAGCCACATTATGGTTACACCTGAATAAAGAAACAGCCTGGCTCTTAGCACTCATTCAAAGGCCAAGAGTGAAGCTGAACTCTGAGCACCTATTCCTTCAGATGTCTCACCTTCTTGGGCCAGACTTCACTCATTCTTTTATTTAAACAGTATCTCCAGCCTGAGTAAAAGTTAGGATCTACCCTTATTGGAGAATCTTGCCCTTTGAGCCCTAGGCCTTGAATATCACACACACAATTACAAACAGACTTCTCAGTTCTTGTTTTCAATGAGAAAAACACACTGCTTTTAGCACTTAGCTATGTTAATCATGTACATCCATATTCATTCACTGTCTTGGGTGGAGGGCTTAAGGGTAGATGCCCAGGTCACAAGAAGAGCACATGGCTCAGTGAACTAGTTGCATTATAACACTTTGGTTGCAAGGTTAGGTAAATATCATTGTCCAGATTATGTTCATATTGTAAAAGTCATTCCTAAAATGGGCTAGGTACTATCCCCTGGCCCTTCTCAGACAAAGAATCTGAGGTGTAGAGTGGTAAAGGAATTTGCTGAGGGCAAAACAGCTGGTGTGTACCAAAACAAGGATTTAATTCGGGCAGCGTGACTCAAGTGCTGAGTTTCCAAGGACTACAGTGTCACCCTCCTCCTTTGTGTACTGTGCCACATGTGCCAGCTGTCTCCAGGGACAACAGAACCAAGGGCTGAAGGAGTCTATAAAGCAGGCATCCTGCTAACAGCTGGGAGAACCAGATCTACCAAACTGAAATCCACCCTGTTCACTGACTCCTTGCTTCATGCAAAATATATCACCTCCAGTTTAAGTGGACTCTTTTTTTTTCCCCAGGACTGAGTGGAACCTGGAGCCTAGAACATGCTAGGTATGAGTTTTACCTCTGAGCTCCAACCCCAGCACTCAACTGGGAGTTTCCCACCTGAGACCCAAGGCCTCTAGAAGAAACAGAGCATATGCAGAAAGAGCAATGGGGAAATCTCCTCATAAACCACTTGGCCGGAGTTGAGACGTGTCTGGCTTTCACGGTGGGGCCAGCATTTGAAGGCAGGGAAAATCAACAAGGATAATGGAAGGTAGAACTCTCCCAGAGAAACGTATCTATTTTGTTGTTGTTGTTGTTTTAGAAGTAAAGAAGTAAGTTTTTTTTTTTTTTTTCATTACAGCTTTAACATATTCAGTAACATTCCAGAGCAAGGATACATCTCTTTCAAAGGTGGCTGTAAAGTTTTAGGTTCACAGTTGAATTAATGCAGTCATAGAATATTGAACTCAGTATAAACTCCTGGAGAGAGGCCTGTGGGTTGTGCAGGCCCAGGGAAGCAGAGGGCGGTGAGGGCCAGGCTAGGCCCAGAGGGCTCCTGGGGACCCCAGAAGGAACTGGGTTGGTCTGGATACAAAGGATCAGGAAGCAGTGGTGGTTCCCCCGGTGTCTGGGGCGCAAAGACAAGGAATGGGACAAGACCCAGGCTGGGAGGACAGACCAAAATGTATCTATTTTACCACTCTGCTTTTATTAGGCACAAGGTGAAAATACAGAAAAAAAGGTATCATACTGACAATTGGCCTGGGTGCTGAGACTCCCCAGAGCAGGCCCTGAGACTTTCTGTGTAGCTGTGAGACAGTCCCTACCTAGCCCTGGCCCTCCAACCTTGGTGCTTCAGTCAGGGGCCAGAAGGGTGAAAAGGCCTGGACGCTCCAGAATATTCCTGAGTCAGATAAGAAACAGCCCCTTTGTTGGAATCTTGCCCTTCTGGCCTGAACCTTGGGCCCGGCTGTGCCAGCAAGCAGGATCTCCAGATGGGAGGCCAGAGACTGACAGCACAATCCCAGCCTGACCTGGGCTTGTGGTCCTGAGTCACAGGGTAAGGCCTGAGGTTTTGGCATGGGGATGTTCCCTTTTATTAAGGGTGCAGGATACAAGGCAGCTGGGTCATTGGTGAAGGGGGTTGTCCTGTGGACAGAAGACCTAGCACTAGCGCAGTGAAGGCCAACCCTGGTTTGAAATGTGCCCAGAGCAGACACTGGCCTGGGAGCCTGAGGCAATGCAGCAGGTCAGTCAGCAAGATATTTTTGTCTCCCTTGGTCTCTGCTGTTCCCAGCACCTAGAACAGGGCTTGGTACCCAGGGAGCATCATCCCACAGTACCTGTGGGAGAGCTCAGGGGTGCATAAAGCACACTGCCCTTTTCTCCCTCTAGGAGGGCACTTAAGGTTTGGCTCAGCCCAAAGAGCCAGGTGAAAGCTTGGAGGACACCACTCAACCCCCAGCTTGCTGCTGAGGGACCAGAAGGGAGGCCCTAGCCATACAGGCCTACCTCCCCTTCCTCAGCCTCCTCCAGCCCAGGGCCATCAGGGACCACCTGGTCAGCCTCCCAGCGGTGGGACCCAGAAGGAGAGATGCAGTGGGGGTCCTCCCGAAGCCAGGGGTGCAGCAGGATGCCTGAGGCTGCCAGCCGCTCTGAAGGCTCCCTGCGAAGGAGGCAGCGGATGAGGCAGCGGGCTGGGGCTGATAGGCCCTCCGGCAGAGCGAAGGTCCCTCGACGGATCTTGCCAAAGAGCAGGGCTGGTTCAGAGTCCTGGAAGGGGTAGTGGCCGGCCAGCATGGTGAAGAGCGATACACCCAGGCTCCACACATCAGCTGCTTTGCCGGAGTAGGAGGGCTGGGAGCAGAGGATCTCTGGACCCACGTAGGCGGGGCACGCATGCTTGTCCCACAGGGAATCGTCTGGTCCATTCAGCACACAGGCATCCTCCAGGTTTTCCAGCACCAGTTTTGTCCTGGGTCATAGATACAGGAGTTGGGGCCTGCCAGGAACCTGGCACTACTCTCCACAGGACTGCCTTCTATGAAACTCAAACTAGAAGCCTGCTTGGCATTTGACAGACATGAGCCAACCGGTGTAGTGGGGAAATCTTTCACAGAAGAGGCAGGCCAGGCTCAGGGAGGTTAAAGTGTTTCTCAAAGTCACAGAGCAATCACATATAAACTAACATTACCAGAGGGTCAAGTGTTGCCAAATGGCATGTCTGGGAGGGGACTGAAGGGGTTAAGCTTTCTGAAAACAGAGGCAAACAGGGAGGAGCTAAAAGGAGAAACAGGAAGTGTACCAAACTGCACCAGCCCAGCCTGAAAAGGTTATGACTAACAAGTTTCTGTGTACAGGTTATTTATCTGACTCCACTACACCTGGGCTTTGGCTCGGCTTTCTCTCCCTCACTACACCCAGTGCACCAGACACCACTTCGAAGCTCCAGAGCCTGGGGCTGCCACGGAAATCCTGGCTGCCACTCATCTGGAGCCAGGGCTATAAACTGCTCAGGTCATCCGCAGGAGCCCTCTCTCCTTCCTCTTTTGCCTCAAGAGAAGCCAGAAATCTCTCTTTTTTAATTATTTTTTCAGTGCTGGGGATTAAATCTAGGACCTTGTACCTGTTAGGCAAATGGTCTACCACTGAGCTACACCTCAATCCCAGAAATCATTTTATAATGCAAAAGTCCCAGGTTTTAAAATGTTGACAGCCAATTTCAATTAAATACATAAAAAGTGCTGAGCACAGTGGTGCTCGCCTTTAATCCTAGTACTTGGGAGGCAGAGACAGGAGGATCTCTGTGAGACTGAGGCCAGCCTGGCCTACATAGTGAGTTCCAGGCCAGCTGGGGCTACAGGGCTACTCTGTCTCTAAAAACAAAAACAAATCAACAAAACCACAAACAGGGTTGGGGAGATGGTTCAGTCAGTGAACTATCTACCTGACTTTGGATTCCCAGCACCTAGGTGAAGCTGGGTGTAGTGTTGTGTGCCTATCCCAGAGGGCAGAGATAGAAGGAACTCACTGGCCAGTCAGTCTAGCCAGTTCAATGAGACATGTCTCAAAAAGTAAAGTGGAGGGCAAGAGAAGACACCTACCATCAACCACACACATGTATGCTGCATGCACACATATACACACAAAAATAAATTTAACCAAATAAGCTAGTATATTGTGTTGTCTTTTTTCCTCTTTTTTTTGGTCTTTTTGAAGCAGGGTCTCCCTGTAGGCCTTGAACTCACAGAGATCCACCTGCCTCTGCCTCCCAAGTGCTGGGACTACAGGCGTGTGCCACCATGCCTGGTCTTTTTTCCTTTTTTTTCTTTCTTTCTTTTTTTTTTTTTTGTCTTTTTGAGGCAGGGTCTCCTTGTAGCTGCAGCTGGCTCGGTTTTTCTATGGAGACCAGGCTGGCCTCAAACTCACAGAGATCCGCCTGCCTCTGCTTCCTGAGTGCTGGGATTAAAGGTGGGTGCCACCACGCTGGGCTTATCCTGTGTTTTTTAAAAAAAGCCCACACAAAGCTGGGTGTGGTGGCTCACATCTGTAATCCCAGCACTTGGGAGGTAAAAACAACAAGATCAGTTCAAGGTGAAGCCAGCCTGAACTACATGAGATGTGGCCTTAAAAACACATACACAGAGCTAGAGAGCTGGCTCTGCTCTTGCAGAGGACCCAAATTTGGTATTCCCAACATCCACATGGCATCTAACAATCATCTGTAACTCCGGTTCCAGGGTATCTGGTATCCTCTTCTGGCCTCCATAGGCATTGCACACATGTGGTACAATTATATACACACAGGCAAAACACCCATACACCTAAAATCTTTAGAAAAAAAATTTTTAAGTTGATATTCAGCTGGGTGTGGTGGTGCACACTTTTAATCCCAGCACTGGGAAGGCAAAGGCAGGTGAATCCTGTGAATTCAAGGTCAGTGTGGTCTCTATAGTGAGGTCCAGGCCAATTAAAGCTACAAGGTAAGATCCTGTTTCCAGAGAGAGAGAAAGGAGAGGAGAGGGAGAGGGAGAGAGAGAGGGCAAGAGAGAGCGAGAGCGAGAGCGAGAGCGAGAGAGAGAGAGAGAGAGAGAGAGAGAGAGAGAGAGAGAGAGAGAGAGAATCCAGCCTGAGCTAGAGACTAAAACAAAAAACAAATCATGAAAGTGATGCCTCCTGGGGTCTGCCTGTGTAGGTGGCCCATTAGTAAATCCCTGATACTATTTATTTGTGTACCTCCAAGTGTTGGGGGAGGGAATAGGATGGTTGGTCCCTCTGTCCCCCAAGCAGAGTCCTAATACTTATCTTATAGCCAAAAAGTACTAATTTTCAGTTTCACAGAAAAAGTTCCCCTGGGAGAGGAAGGTTGGGTGATATTTTTTGGCTACTGCTTGCACCCTTGCAATCCTGGAGCCACCTCAATCCTGACCTTTCTCCCACCAACAGAGACAGCCTCAGTGTGACAATGGGTCACCCACAGTCACCCAGTATGCCCAGTCAAGCTAGCCTGCATTCTCCAGCTCAGAGTGGGCTCTGGAGTGAGATCTGGGTTCAAATCCTGTCTCTTCCATTTATCTTATTGTGGGATCTTGGACAAGTTACTTGTCCTTGGTTTCCTTATTCATCTTGTGGGGATAACAGCAGAGCCTACTCCATAGTGGCCAGGATACAGGCCAAGTCAGAAAATACAGTGGTACCCTTCATCTCTATCAGCTCCTGTAACTGGCACAACCATAGCACTCTACCCCAAGTGGCTTTCACATCACTGAGTCATATTTGTCCAGAGAGGAGAGAAGTGGTCAGTGGGTGCTTGATTAGGTCCATTTCCTTTCCCTCTCTTTTTTATTTTAATTAATTAATTAATTAATTTTTTTAGGTAGGGGCTCACTGTATAACCCTGGCAGAGCCTGGAATTCATAGATCAATCAGGCTGGCCTCAGTCTCACAGAGATCCACATCCCTCTGTCTCCAGGGTCCTTGGGTTAAAGGTGTACACTGGCCTTATCTTAGTTTTTCAATTTTTATTTATTTATTTATTATTTATTTATTTATTTTGTCTTTTTGAGACAGGGCCTCCCTGTAGCCCCAGCTGGCCCGGAATTTACTGTGTAGACCAGGCTGGCCTTGAACTCACAGAGATCCAACTGCCTTTGCCTCCCAAGTACTGGGGGTAAAGGCGTGCACCACCATGCCCGGCAGTTTTTCAATTTTTGTATTTTTTATTTTTTTAATTTTATGTGTATTCGTGTATTGCCTGTGTGTATGTGAGTGCACCCGTGTCGTGCAATGCCTTGGAGGTCAGAAGAGGGCTTCGGGTTCTCCTGGAATTGGAGTTAAGAATGGTTCATAGCTGCCATGTGGGTGCTGGGAATTGAACCCAGGTCCTCTGCAAGAGCAGTCAGTGCTTTCAACCACTGAACCATCTCTCCAGCCCCAGTTTTTCAATTTTTTTTTTGGTCTTTTTGAGACAGGGTCTCCCTGTAGCCCCAGCTGTCCCGGAACTCACTATGTAGACCAGGCTGGCCTTGAACTCACCACGCCCAGCTTAGTTTTTCAATTTTAAATCTGCAGGTGTATATGTGCACGTGGAGGGGTATACATGTGGAGGTCAGAGGTCAGTGTCAAATGACTTCCTTGATGGGTCTTTATTGACTTACATACTTGTTTTTTTGTCTACAGGGTGGCTCAGTAAACCAGGAGCTCACACACCAGCTAGACTGACTGGCCAGTAAGCTCTGAGGGTGCACCTGTCTTGTCCCTCCTTCCCCACCCTCACCCCAAGTGCTAGGTTTACACACTTGCCACCACACATAGCTGTTACTGGGTGCTGGGAATTCCCTTTCTGGGCCATTCTTTTGGTGCTGGGGATAGACGCCAACTCCAGGGCCTTGGACCTTCTCTACCACTGAGCTCCACCTAAGCTATAGGCTTCTCTTCTGGCCTAAATTACTCTGCCATCCTTGGCCTCAGTTTTCCACATGGCCCACTTCTCAGGTGCCTCTGGGGTCACACTTACCGCTCACAGTTGCTGAAGACAAAGCGACGCAGCTTGAGGTCCCGTAGGACTAGACCATGATGGTGGCAGTGGGCCACAGCTGCAACCATCTGCTGGAAAAGCGCAGCAGCCTCAGGTTCAGGGATACCACGACGGCTGCGCACCAGGCTGTGCAAGTCTCCGTGGGTCTGAGGGAAGAAGGTGTAGAGGAGCTGGGAGCCCAGCAAGACGTCAGCGGGCCGGGCTACATGCTCATGGGTGGGCAGCCTCATGTAAGGCTCCAGCACCGTGCAGGCTTTCCAGGCTGGGTACATCTGTGGGCAGAGCAGAGCATGGAGTGAGCATGGCTGAGGACCTGGGATGCCAAGCTGGCCTGGCAAAGGGGGACAGCCAACCCTTTCACTAGACATACAGGATGGGGTTTTGCTTAGCAAGCCACTCAGCTCTGACAACAGCCTTCTTGGCTGACTTGCCCCATTTCACAGGTCAGGAAGTCCAAGCCAAAGGGCAACAAACAGCACAGCTGGGATTGGAACCTGTGTGTCCACCTCTGTGCTCTAAGTGCTCTCCTGTGTGGCCTTATGCCTCTGACAATTGAATGAAACCAGGGTGTAACCAAAACAGAAAAGCACCCCTGGGCTGCGCAGTGCTCGCACAAGGCTAGCCCAAGAACAGCCTACTCAATGGCCCACATGAGCCCATGGCTAGCTGACTAGACGCACAGCCACAGCGGCCCCTGCTCTCCTGGTACCCAGTGTAGCACAAGAAAGCCCACAAATTCTGACAACTCTAATATCTGCTAGCAGAACCAAAGAAAAATGCTAGAAATCAGACAGTATTTTAATTTATTTCACAGTGTTGGAGGTTGCACCTAGGGCCTGTTGGCTGAGACAAGTGTGGGATAGCAGATAGTATTCTAGAAGGCAGCACCTATTTTAGAAAGTGTAGGCCACGTGTGACTCAGGGGAGGTGACCTGAATGACTGAAAATGCCCAGGGGAGAAGCTTCTCATGTTGGGTCACAGGCAGTGCAAAAGCTATCAAGAGCTCAGCCTGGTCTTTTGAAATGCAAGCAAAAGATAGTGTGGCCAGAATGGGGAAAGGGATGGGGACCTATGGGAGGGGCGGCAAGGCAGCTGGGAAATATGCTAGGGCCTTAGAGACATTAAACACACACCTGGAAAGGGGTCCCATTTTACTGATAGTAAAACTGAAGTTTAGAAAAGAGAGGTGACTTGTTAGAAGCCCCACAACCAGCCAACCATGGCAGAGTTGGTATGCTTCCTTGGTTTGTCTGACTTTAAAGTCCTTGCATGCCTAATATATATGTATTTAAGTATTTTATTTATTTTTATTTTATGTGTATGAATGTATTGCCTGCATGTATGTAAGTGCACTCATGTCATGCAATGCTCACGGAGGTCAGAAGAGGATGCTGGATCCCTAGAACTGGCAGTTGTTAGCTGCCGTGTGGGTGCTGTGAACTTGGGTCCTCTGCAAGAGCATCCAGTGCTCTTAACTGCTGAGCCATCTCTCCAGCCCCTGACTATATATATATTTAATCCATGAAAAATATAAAACATACTTCCTTTAAAAATAAATAACTGGTGTGCTGGAGAGATGGTTCAGCAGTTAAGAGCACTAGCTGCTCTTGCAGAGGATTGGGGTTTGATTCCCAGCACCCACATGGCGGCTACCAACCGTCTGTAACTCCAGTTCCAGCGGAATCCAGCACTCTCTTCTGGGGCATTACATAACACAAGTGCATTTACGCACATGCAGGCAATACACTCATAAAATAAAAATAATAAATAAAATATTCAAAAAAATAAGCTGGGGTGGCAGGGAAACAATAAAAACAGACTACTTTTTCTTTTCCCCCTATTCCTGCCCTAGTGCCTTTGCATGTACCCTACCTGCTACCATGATACTCTGCCTTTGGACTCCCCATACCTCTTCAACTCCCACAATTCACTGTCCCTTGTCATGTCCAAATCCCTCCCAGACTTCTTCGTGTCCCCTACATCCCATACCCCTACCTCCTTTCCCTGCTTCCACTTAGAATTGCCTACTCCCTTCTGATGTGTGTGTTTGTCTGTCTGTCTGTGTCTGTGTGCCTGTGTACATGCCCATGTGCATGTGGAGGCCAGAGGAAAATTTCAGGTGCTATTCCTCAGGTGCCAAACTTTTTTTTTTAAACTGCGATAGGGTACAGGGTCTCTCACTGACCTGGGACTCACCAAGTAGGCTAGGTTGGCTGGCCAGTGAGCCCTGTCTCTGCCTCCCCAATGCAGGATTACAAGTGTGTGGCACCACACCCTCTTTAAAAAAAAAAAAAAAAAAAGGTGTTCTGGGGAATACTGACTGAGCTATCTCCCCAGGCCCAGCCCCAGCTTCTCTTTTATCATCCACATCCCTCACTGGAATGTCAGCCTGAGGACAGCAGCACTGGGCCTGTGCCGGTTTTCTTTTCTCTTTTCTTTTCTTTTTTTTCTTTCCTTTTTTGTTTTAAGACAGGCTCTCCCAGGTTCCATCTCACAGAGATCCACCTGCCTCTGCTTTCTGAATGCTGGGATTAAAGGCAAATGCCATCACGCCTGGCTTTTCTTTTTGAGACAGGTTCTCAGCATGTAGCTGAAACTGACCTCAAATTTGAGGAAATCTTCCTGCCTTAATCTATCAAGTGTTGGGATCACAGGCATGCGACACAAAGTCCTACTTGGAAGCCTTTCTAGGCACAGCTTGGTGCATGGTGTCACATACAGTGCTCCACGAAGCTTTGTAGCATTGATGAATCTGAAGGTGACAGTCAGCTATAGATAGCTCTCCCTGGCACTGGAGGAGCACATCTCCCATTCCAGTGGCTCCCTGATGATTCCAAAGACCTGGAGCCCCATTAACCTCTGTAGCTTCTCCAAGCCCAATGTGGTCATTTCCCTCAGGACAGGGCACCCTTCTCAGTGAACAACACTATAACAGGAAGAACACTATAAGACTCACAGGACTGGAGAGGTGGCTCAGTGTTTAAGAACACTTGCTGTTCTAGAGGACCTGGGTTTGATTCCTAGTACCCACATGGTGGCTAACAACCATCCTTAACTCCAGTTCCAGGAGATCTGACACCCTCTTCTGGCCTCTTTAGGACATTGCATGTACATGGTGCACTTCCATACATGCAGACAAAACACTCATACACATAAAATAAAAATTTAACAAATAAAATAAAGAAGGATACCCAGAGTCAGGGCTCCTGAACCCATAGGATACAGCCAACCTAGAGCCCAGGTAAGGCTAGGTGGACCCAATCTGCTGCAGGGCTGGAGCCAGACTACTCCCACGGGTCCCACAGCCTCTCAGAACATTCCCAAGGGCTGTGTGGCCACATGCCTTCCTATTTCCAATTCTCTTTATGCCTCCCTCCAAGGGCAAGACTGCCCTGATTGTGACCTGAAGACTCATTCTAGCTCAAGGAACATGGCTCTGGGCCCCATTTGCCAGGCCCAACTTGCTGGTGACACTTCTGAGATGTGGCCACCACAGCTGAGTCCCAGCCCCTATCTGTAAAATAAGTCCAAGGAGAGCACTAGCTCAGGTCATGTGGGGACAGAGACTGCACAGCCTATGCCACTAACAGTGTCCCTTTTCTCATCTCTACCCATCTTGCTCCTGACCTGCCACTGTGCTGTGGGCCTGCCTTCAGGGACCTTGGTTCTGCCCTTTTCCTGACTTCTTCGGCCAGGAATCCTCAAACTTCATTTCCCCACATCATGTCCTAGATGCTAGGCCCTATGCTATGTGACATCAGGCATGGTTCTTGGGTGCTTCCTCAGTCTTCTTCCTGTGAAGTGGCCACAGGTTCAGCCATCACTACCAGAGGCTCGGGAGTACAGATGCCTTTCTCTATACGGGCATCCACAGCCCACTGGGAGCTGGCTCCTTCCTTATGCTCTGAGGCCTGCTGCAGCCAGCCCTCATCACCCACCCTCTCCATTCTGACCAGCACAGGCCCTTTTCATACCTCTGAGGTCCTCCCAGGCTTTGCACAGCTCCCCCTTCCCTTCCTTCATTTCCACCTGGCCAGCCCTACTCAGCCTTTGGGGATACCCCTTTGAACACTTTGGAAGTGTCTCCACTGTTCTGTTGACTATGGGGTCTACCAGGTGGCATTTATCAGGGCAGAGCCTAAGTTGAGAAGGCCCAGTGGCTGGGCCAGAGGCTCTCTGGCTGCTTCCCCAGTAAACACAGGAATAAATAAGCATCAAGGGCCTCAGCCTCCCAGAAATCACCTGGGGATCAGCCGCTTTGCAGGCCCCTGGGATGCTGGGAGAGACCCCACAGGACATACCTTGCAGGTGAACTCCCTGCCAGTGGGGCAGTGCAGGGCGGGGTAGGTACAGCTGCTCTGTTCGAGCTCCAGAAGCACATAAGGCCCCAGCTGGGTGGCAGGGGCCACAGCAGGTGCTGGGTCTGGAGCAGGGGATGGACTGGCAGGCAGCAAACAGGGAGACAGCTCTGGGTCCGGCCCACTTCGAGCTCGTTTTAGGACTGGACACTCGGCATCTAAGTTATCACCTAATTCCAACGGCTTCTTCCTGTAGGGGCCACTAGCAGGAGCAACCAGAGGGGTGGCTCGCATCTAGAGAGAAGGAAAGAAAGGCTGTTTGGTGGCCTGTCTCTTCCCTGCTGCTGGGAAGGCACACGGGTTAAGACTCTCCCAACAGAGCCGGGCGTGGTGGTGCAGCCTTTAATCCCAGCACTCAGGAGACAGAGGCAGGCGGATCTCTGTGAGTTTGAGGCCAGCCTGGTCTACACCGCGAGTTCCAGGCCAGCTGGGGCTACAGAGAAACTGTCTCAAAAGCAAACAACAACAAAAGACTCTCCCAACAGTTGGAGGCGAGTGAAACAGCACCGTCGGTTTTCACCGAAGCTCCCTGGGAATGTTGCATCTCAGACGCAAGGGTTGCTTTAGACTTGGTAAATAATTCAAAAAGGGAAGATGGGCACAGGGGCGCACCCCTGCACTGCCAGCCCCGAGTTCCCGGCCCGCCTCGGGCCCAGGGCCCCCACCGAGACGGCGGAGTAGCTCAACGTTTTGGCGTGCGTGCGTGCGTGTGTGTGTGTGCTGCAGACACCCAGGGCTCCCGAGGTCCCTCTTGCCAGGCTTCAGGGAGGTCCCCTCTCGGGATGGGTACCTTGTCCTGGGGTCCCGCGTGGGTCTCGGCACCGCGCGTTTCAGAGCCGCTGGTACACGCGCGGATGGAGCCTGGCCCGCCGGGCTGCGGCTATCTCGGGGTCCGCGGCTCGCTAGCACCCAGACCCCAGCTCTGCTGCGTGCAGAGCCGGCGGCGCTTCAGCGTGTGCGGCTGCCCGGAGCGCGGGCTCCGCTCGGCCTGGCTGATGTAAACCTGAGCTAATCCGCGCCGACGCCCTGCGGGGAGGGATTGCACCATCCGCGACCCGCTCTCCGGTCACCGGCAATCCGAGCTCCGCCCACCCACTCCGGCCACCCCAGGGGTCTGCTCTCCGCCCACTCTCCTTACCATATTACTTTGAATCTATGGGGACGATATCCTAGTAGGGGAAGAAAAAAGAAGAAAAGTAAAGAAAGAAAAAGAGCAAATGCACACTGGCTATACTAAAACCCTAATAAGATTTAGGCGAGAAACTCCATCCTCCCCATCCTCTGAGCCATCCTCTCCCTTCAAGTGCGCACCTAGCTCTGCTCAGACCCGGTGGTGCTGTGCGGGTCGGAAAAGCCACTTAGCAAGCACCCTGCCTGGTCGGGATGGGGGTGGGGGGATAGGTGATGGGGATGGCTTAGTGCTAGAGCACTTGCCTAGAACATGCACCAGGAAATCCCAGCGCTGCAAAAACCAAAGCAAATCGACCATCCCACAAAGAAACCACAGCTTCAGTTTCCTTCTCCTTAAAATGGGCTGGGAGCAGTGCTCGCTTTATAGGGTTGCTGTGAGCATTAAGATCCTTTTAGAACAGCCGGGCTAGTGCACAACTGGGACCCCAGCTACTGGGGAAGTTGAGGTGGGAGGACAGCATGTTTGAGGACTGCCTGGGCTACCTTGTGTCTATCTAAGATCTTTTACAAAGGCAGGGCCCAGGGAAAGGAATTAGGACTGTAGCTCTTATGCATTAGGCAGTGGGTCCAATCCCCAGTAACAATGCAAACAGAACGCTGAGAACAGTGTGTGGCACATTTAGACACTCAGTACATAGGATGGAGATGCTGGGCCCTGGAAGGCAAGGGATATAAGGACTCCAGTCATAGCTGAGGAGGGCCTGGTACTGCTAGACACAGTGGTGACACCCATGCACAGCCTCAGAGGCCCAGCACCTTTCCTCATTTAGGTCTTTATATTTGAGTTCACTAGAGTCAAAAAAAAATAACTCCTCTAAGCAAAGCTAGAGGCAGGCAGAGCAGAGACACCTTTGTTTTCCTGGTTCTGGAAGACAGGGGACCAACTCCCTTGTGTCATGGAGTCTTTCCAACAGGCCAGGGGATTCTGGGATCGAATTTGGCCCTGAATACACCCTTGCTGGGAAGGGATGAATGAGTTTATTTTTAGAAGTCAGGACATGTGGAAGACTCCAGCTGTGAGGGGCAAAGGAAAGTGGGATTGTTGCTTCCTGAGCACCCATCCAGTCAGCCAGAGCTAGGTGTGCTTGGCATTGTTAACTGTTTGCGTGCTGTCAGGCCCTGTCCCAAATGCTGGGGACTCCAGGTGACCACACTGACCCCTCCCTCCTCTCACAGATTTCATAAATCAGAAAAATAAAGTAACTTCTGCCATTTAAAATAGATTATAGGCTGGGCGTAATGGTACACACCTTTAATCTCAGCACTTGGGAGGCAGAGGCAGGCAGATCTCTGTGAGTTTAAGGCCAGCCTGGTCTACATAGCAAGTTCCCAGGCCAGCTGTGACTACAGGATGACCCTGTCTCAAAAAAAAAAAAAAAAAAAAGATTATAGAGGCTGGAGAGTTGACTCGGCAGTTAAGAGCACTGGCTGCTCTTGCAGAGGACCCAGGTTCGAATCCCAGCACTCACATTCCAGTTAACAACCATCTGTAACTCCAGTTCCAGGGAAATGGGATAGTCTCTTCTGACCTCCTAAGGTTGCATGACATGGGTATACTTACATACTTGCAGGCAATACACTCATACACATAAACCATATATATATTAAAATAGATTATAAAAGTACTCCATATTTTCTTGATGGGACATAATAAAATTCGATAGAGCTGGATAGATGGCTCAGCTGTTAAGAAAGTACGTAATGTTCTTGCAGAGGTCAGCACCATGGCAAAGGTTTGGGAAGCTCACAATTCCCTATAACTCCAGTTCCTAGGGACCCAACATTATCTTCTGGCCTCTGTGGGCACCTGCACACACATAACATACATTCACACAAATACTTATACACATAAATTTAAAAATTAATATTTTAAAAACAAAACCAAATTGGATATATCTGTTTTTGTCATGACTGAGGATATTTATTTTTTTATGGGGTTCATCAGAAAGGTGATGTTTAAGATGTTAAGGAAAAGGAGAAGTATGTGTCGCAAAAACTCAAGGAGCTAGAGAGCACTGTAAGTGCAAAGGCCCTGAGGCAGAATAGGACTTTTTAAGGAACTACAAAATGAGCACCGTCACCTCCATTCTACAAAGCACATGAGTCAAAGTGAGGGGCTAACTTGTTACCACCAGCTTGGCAGGTTTGAGATTTGAACCTGGGTCAGCTTATGCCAGTGTCATCAATGTCCTGGGAACATTTCACAATTGTTTCAACCCAGCAGTCACCAAATGAATTTGTAATATGCTCACTGGAATGTCACAGCTGTGGTTGTCAAATCCAAATTTTCTAGACTAGGACTTGGCAAAAAGAAACAAAAAGTGCATGTGTAATTTTTAATTTAGGGGGAGCTGGGAGATAGCTCAGTCCATAAAGAACTTGTCTTGTAACCATGAGGACCTGAGCTCAATCCCCAGCACCCATGGGTGCTGTGGCATGTACATAGCACTGTGGAGGTAAAGACAGGTGGATTCCTGGGACTCGCTGAGCAGCCAGCCCAGCCTGACCAGTGAGTCCCAGGTCCTGGTGAGAGACCTGTCTCAAAAAACCAGGTGAGCCAAGCATGGTAGTGGCTCACACTTTTAATCCCAGAACTTGGGAGGCAGAAACAGGAAGCTCTCTGTGAAATCCAAGCCAACCTGGTCTATGTAGGGAATTCCAGGTCAGCTGGGGCTACCAGGAGACCCTGTCTCAAAATAAACAAACCCAAACAACAAAAACAAAAAAGAAGGTGAATGGCTCTTGAGGAATGACATCTGAGGTTAACCTCTGGCCAGCACACACACACACACATACACACACACACACACACACACACACACACACAAACCCATGCCTGTGTACACACATGCACAAACACATACAACTTTTAGTTATAGGCAGGCTGACCTTGAATTCACAGAGATCTACCTACTTATACCTCCCAATGTTGGAATTAAAGGTGTGCACCACTGTGCCCCCACCCCAATTTTTTTAGTTGTGATTGAAGAAAAGCCAAAAGAAATTCATTTTATTAATGTAGCCTATTTAATACACTGACATATTATTACAACAGATAACGAACAAAATTAAACTTTTCTCATATCTTTAAAAATCTATTTTTGGGGGGGCTGTTTTTGAGACAGGGTCTCTCTGTAGCCCCAGCTGGCCTGGAACTTACTATATAGACCAGGCTGGCCTCAAACTCACAGAGATCCACCTGTCTCTGCCTCCCAAGTGCTGGGATTAAAGACTTGTGCCACCATGCCCAGCTAAAATCTTTTTTTTTTTCTAAAATCTATTTTCATCTGGGGCTGGAGAGATGGCTCAGCAGGTAAGAGCACTGACTGCTCTTGCAGAGGACCAGGGTTCGATTCCCAGCACCCACATGGCAACTCTGAACTATCCTTAATGCCATCCAGTTCCAGGGGAATCCGAAGCCCTCTTCTGACCTGCACAGCATTGCATGACATGGGTGCACTCACATAAATGCAGGCAATACACTCATACACATAAAATAAAATATTAAAAAAATAAAATTGCCAGGCATGGCGGCACACGCCTTTAATCCCAGCACTCGGGAGGCAGAGGCAGGCAGATCTCTGTGAGGGTCAACGCCAGCCTGGTCTCCATAGCGAATCCAGGCCAGCTGGGGCTACAGGGAGACCCTTTCTCAAAAAGACCAAAAAATAAATAAAATAAAATCTACTGTTATCTTTTGTGTTTTGAATTATTTGGTTTTTATTTTTGTTTTGTTGAGTCAGGGTCTTATGTAGCCCAGGCTGGCCTTGAATTTCTGATCCTCCTGCTTCTATCTCTGAGTGCTGAAATTACATGCATGTGCCACCATGTCCTGTTTTATGTGGTCCTAGGGACTATGTATGCCAAACAACACTCTACCAACTTAGCTACATTCCCAGTCCCCTTTTTTCCCCCTGTTTTTTGAGACCGACTCTCATGTAGCCTAGGCTGGCTTCAAACTCACAATGTTGTCAAGCCTAGACTTGAACTCTGGATCCTCTGGTCTCCAGTTCTCACACTGGGCTGGGTTTCAACGTCTGCTTATGTAGCCTGAACTGGCCTGGAATTCTCACTAGTGCTAGGGTTATAGGAGTGTGGCACCACTCCTGGCTCCCAGTATGTATTTTACAGTTCATTTGAATTAAAGTGAGCATGGGAGCTAAACGATTAATGGTTCAGCCAGGTATGTTAGCCTGTGCCTCCAATCCCAGCACTTGGGAGGCTGAGACAGGAGGATTGATGCAAGTTCAGCCTGGGCTACAGTGAAGCCCTGTCTCAACAAACAAATTTGGACCAGCAAGATGGCTCAGTATGTAAAAGGTATCACCAAGTCTGAAGATCTGAGTTCTATCCCTGCAGCCCACATGATGAAAGGAGAGAACAGCAATTATCTTCTGACTGCTACACGTGCACTGTGGCACGGTCACCCCCAACCCCGCAGAATGAATGAATGAATGAATGAATGAATGAATGAATCTAAAAACCAAATAAATTAATTCATCTATTAAAAACTAAAAATTGGAAGATGTTAGAATTGTTAGTGTATTCCAAAGTCTGGTGCTGGTGGGACGGCAGGAGCGATGATGGAATAACAGAATTGCAGCAGCATGCCAGGATTCTTTTCCCATGAGATGCTCTTTGGCTCCACAGATTCCATGGGGAGAAAGTCTCACTTAACAGTTCCTGTGTGTTTCTGTCTCTCTCATCAAGGACTGGTGAACAAAGCTCAGCCCAGAGACTTCAGTGGAACAGGATTGAGCTAGCATTGCATAATCTTGTTTTGCTCTCCAGTATTTAACTTTATGGTGACCTCTTTTTACATCAGAGTTGGGGTTGTTTCTTTCCTTTTATTTTTCCCCCTGTGGTGCCAGGCATGAACCTACATCAGAATTGGGGTTTGTGCTCTCTCTCTCTCTCTCCTGTACTGCCAGGCATGCCTGGGGCCTTGCACATACTAGATAAGTGCTTTACCACTGAGGCACATCTCAGTGCAAAATTTCTTTACTACTACAGGA